TGGATAAAGACATAATAGGTACGTACTACTCGTATTTATTACCTATTACCTACTACCTAACCTACATAATCTAGGATTAAGTAGTCCACTTAATAAATCTCTTATGCCCGTTTTCACCATCAATCCCTAATTTTTAAGTGACCCCTATGGTAACACTTAACAGGAATTTTGTTTTCATGGAGGTCACTTAAAAATTAAGGATTGATGGTGAAAATTATGCTGAAACTTTAAATCTTCCGCTTATCGTGCACAATTGAAAAATGGATTTCTGTTGGAACCTTTAAACTGAGTAATTACCTAACTAATTAATTAATTACAAATCAGAATTACTTAAACAGGAAAAAACTTTTCTTAAGCCTAGACTACAATGATACAACCAGACATTACTCACTAACCAAGGTAAGGTATTCAGTGATTGTGCGTAATAATTTCAAGAATTGCATTTCCTTTAGTATCCTTAATTCAAGCAGTTTAGCTGACTCAATTAGCAGGTAATTTTACTGGAAAGTACGTTGTTGTTAACAAATTATAAGTACTTTTGGTAATTAATGTACTGATTCACGTGTCTTTAGAAAATAAACTCTAATCAAAGGTTGGTTGGGTTTTTTATGGCGGTCAAACTGTAGATTCTGGCTACACAGGAGTTGCAGTGGTGGGAACGAGAGGTGGGAATAGTCCCGTATCTTTCTATTGGTACCGATCTAGACACAGCGATTTGGCATTTAAATGCCAGGCCATTCGATTCCTAGGTTAGAAACCTTAAAAGGATAACAAAAGTTAGAAAATTATGTGGACTGGTGACTCTACACAGCAGATTTTCTCAATTTGGCTGAGTTTCCTACTTGTATGACGATCTGACAGACTCTCCAATAAATATGATTCTAATCGAGCCATGCCATACGCCCATGGTGGAATATGAAGGCCAATTTATTCTAATTAACTAATATTTATAGACAAGTAGCTGCTGCCCGCGGCGTCATGGCCCGATTAGAAATCAATCTGTCAAAATATGTGACAACTTTTGTTACTGCGCTATTAAAAACACGATGTTGAACTGAAACATTTTAAAAACATAAATACGAATTCCATCCTGAAATCATCCCCTTTAATGTTTTTTCTACAAAAACAACGTACATAAAATATTATTGCTATCAAAGAATGTCCAAATAACTAGCACCAAAGACGTTTTCAGTGAGCTAGTTTAGCTCTTTTGACGATTGCTAAAATGTAAGGAATACTCGTATACCTACAAAGTACTTCATGGTACTAATATATCTCTAAGTATACCAAAATTTTAAAATTAGTTCAGCTGCGAAGACATAAGAATTTTAATATTAGTGTAGATACCTGAAAAACTAATTGTTCTTAAATGACCATACCTCCGTGTTTCGTCGGAGTTCTTTCTTCGCCTAAAAGCTTTTTCGAATGCCTTTGTCTAAATAATTAAGAATCCTAGAAAAAAAATGGCGAGGTGTCAAAAAGGTTGGTCAAACAAATAACTCGTACAGAATAAGGTAAACAGCCCAATAATAGTCCGTGAGTTACTAAACCGACGTGGATCGATTGCCAGGCTGGTTTTTTGTCTGCCCGTTTTTTGTGGTAATTTTTAAAACGGGTCGTGGGACCGGGCTGGGCATAAAAATGCAATGCTTGTAGCGCAGTAGGCGGCGGTGCGGTAGGCGCGTAATATCCTGACATTAGAGTATGAACTACGGTAGCTCTGACATAAAGACCGGACCACGCCTTAACTATTAGACAAGAGGATTCATCAAAATATAAATAAATTGGTCCAAGTCCAACTATGTGACCCATTGCAGCCTCTATGTAGTGATTATTTATTTGTCGGTTACGTGGTTCTTTTCAGGTGTAATTTCATTGAACCGTGCATTGCCCTCATGACATGAAACCCCATTTAGCGGCATCGCAAAAAGGTGATAATTCGGTAACGGACCAATATATTTATGAATGAATGATTACCTAATAGGTACATTTACGACTATGATGATTCTACATTTACGGTGGTACTACAGTTGGTGTATTTTAACAGTATGCGAACCACTAATATAAATTAATCTTGTACCCATGTCTGTATACATATTAGTCTTGTATATCTAACGCAGGAGCAAAGTCTAGAGTCCATCTTCCACCTAACTACTTTAAAAATAGCAGGCCTTGTACACCTTCCTCTATTATGTTCGTACGGTCAACTTCACTCGTCGATACCTGACATAAAGCTCACTCAATTCTGAACTCAAATCCTTTAAAAATAAAGGCTTTCTCACACACACCTTTGTTGTAGTAGTTGTGAAGAGACCGAGTTAAATGAATATGATTAAGTCTTCGAAGGCTACGTGCCTAGAAGTTTTTTATGGCGTATACGACAGTCTTGGCGGTGAATTGGTTCACTCACCTCTTTTTTTAATCACACGCGTTTGGTTGTGTCATCTTATTCCCAGGTTAATAGTCTTTGCAATTAAATATAGACAGAGTTAAGTAGGATAATCTATGAAGAATATTAAATATCTGTAGGTACCAAACCAAGTGATTCAACCGAAGTCTATAGGCTTTATAGGGAGGTGAGTTATTTTTTTTGAAGAACGTTGTCCAACTATATCCTCTTATATAGCTTTTAAAGTGGCAAAGAGAGCTGCATATTTTAAAGTCCGTTTTCCGGAGCTTACGTAGCTGACCGCAAGTTACAGACGACGGCACTTCAAGTTACTGGGGCCTTATTCAAATGTAATAAAAGCAACTTTTCAACAAAAATGTAGTCTCATGTGCTGTCTGTACAATCGTCCTTGAAAACCCCAATTTATACAACCTTTTTAATCGTGGGAGCAAAAGACATCAACGATTGTAAAGCCTTAAATTATGAATATAAAGAATTTGTTCTTTTATTTTACCGCAAACTGTAAAAAGTACATAATAACATCGTGCATTCTTGGCCAGTCAATAAAAAAGCAATAAAATGTAACTCGAAATTGCCATGGTTTGTTTTTTGAATACTAAATATTATTATTGCCTTATCTGTCCTCGCGTGCCAAATATAGGAATATCTGTTGCTAAGTGCTCATTAGTTTGTAAACAACATAAATAGACGTAGTGATGTCTAAAGTTCATAAACACATTAGGGCGGTCGTCTATCAAGGCCGGAAACGCTCGGCCCGTCGGAATCACCACTGACTCAACGGGTAAGGCTTATACTTGTGGTTTCAGATGTAACGATAAGTAAACTTGTTCGAAAAACTGAATTTTTGCATGTCATGTCATCTGAATAATAATTTACCTTATGACTGTTCTGAAACTGTATTAAAATGTGCTTATTGGCACGTATTACTATTACACATCGGTCGCATCGTGTGACTGCAACTGCAATAGGTACTTTACGAATAAACTAGAGTTTAGAACATTAACCCTTTAACAAGGATAACCATTTCTGCTATTTCATTATTTATAAATAAGCTCTGAAGCTCGCTTCCACCTTCGGCCTGATCGTCACTTACCATCAGGTGAGATACATACAGGTCAAGAGCTTCCTCGTTGTGGATAAAAAAAAATTATTAATTTATTTAACTATTTTCCCTTCCACTCCCTTACTAGGGGTTATTAAAAATGCCGACATTAACCTGACTCCCATTAAAGTCAGAGGATGTCGAGGAAATATGGTATCTGTTAAGACCATACTTCAGAAGTATGTAAAACCAATCCAATTTCTTCTCAGGGAAAAATAATTTTCATTCCAAATAATTCTGCTCGCAAACAAAACATCTAGCGCTCAATGTTTGACAGTTGATTTCAACCTGTAGCCGATCATTAACAAATCAATCCCTAATAAACGCCAACTAGTTTTTATGGCTTTCGAATCACGACAACTTAATTTTCAAAAAAACTTGGTCTAACGACAACGTTTTCAATTCTGAGAACTTTGGAACATGTCTTGTGCATTACTTGTAGAACCACAAAAATTGTATTCGAACAAATGTACCAGTCGAAAATACACTTTGTTATGATTTTTTAAAGGTGCAATTTGGAGTGGTGATTGATGAGAATAAAATTCAAACCAATAGAGTCTTTATGTCGAGGCCTCTGCAGCGAGGTTCCAATATTGAATGCGTCATTTAAGGCTTTTTAGTTGGAAAGCGGTTATAAAAGGAATAGAAAGGTAACCTCAAACACGGCTGAAACTGTCAGAGGATAAGGAGCTTTTGTGGGTTGTGTTAGAGGTGAGAATTGTTTGTGGGTGGTGTGGAAAAGGCATTTCGCGAGAGGAGGGGGTCGCGAGCGCAGGTCCGACGGGTTCCGTGTTACCCGCGGCCCCTCGGCCCCCGACCCCCGGCCCCCTCGGCTCGTCTGCGCCGGTGCAGGCTACCCGTCTCGTCTTAAAGCAATTATGTGGATTAAAAGAGCGTGCATCAATTTAGCTTGGACCTCTTATTCTTTATTGGACAGGAATTCATCAATGCGTTTTTGCATAGGCCAATGTTGGCCGTTATTATGGTCGTGGCGTTGGAATGTTAAGCGGTTTGATCTTCGTTTGTTATGTAATGCCGGTATAATGTTATATCACACATTACCACACCATTTTATAGAGTGGCGATTGATTAATTCAACATATTTCCATGTTTCGAGCTTTTAAAACCTCTTATTGGTTTTATTACTAAATACGGTAATGTTTTCCCACTTTTCATCAGTGAAAAGCTCAACTTATCTCATTAAATAAAGTTTACATCCAAAAGTGGACTGCTATATGCTGAAATGATGATGACAATTAAGGGTTAAATATTTCGTTACTCAATGAGGTGGTAGGTAGATTTTCAACAATCAGTGAAAAACTCTACTTTTCTTCTTTCTTTCAATTCTATAGATCCGGGGATCCCCCCACTGAGTGCGTCCACGTTCGCGATCCCTGGACCCTGACCTGACCCCGGTAACGCAGGTGGCAGGCAGGTGACTGAAGCTCAGTGCGAGCATTGCGACTCACTTAAATTTAATCATATCATTTACCACACAAACATGTCCTCAGACGACGAGTTTGGCTTTGGTTCGCCGATTTCTGGCTCTCCCTCACCGACACCGTCCAAGGCAAAAGCCGCCCCACCAAAATCTACGAAGAAAACTTCTGGCAAGCCGGTTATTCTTCCACCTTCCAAGGCAACAAATAGCTTGGAACGTNATTCTTTCTTAGTAAAATTGTGTAACCTTTTTTGACATATCCAAGACCTGACCATATTATATAAAAATAAGAAGAAGACTTTGACATTATAGTGTCACTCTCGACAATGCGTTAGAGGTGGTAAGCATGGTGATTGAAACTTGAACAGGTAGCCTGACGTTACGGCACCGCCTATGTTTAATTCCACGCAAAAATATGGAGGTAATTTAAATATGTAATTAATTTCTCAGCCATTTCTTGATGGATTTCAAAAATAACTTCAACGGCTTTTTTATTTGGTCTATATTTTAATTCTATTCAGTTAAATCGAATGTTTTCAACATCACGAAACTACTCCATTGTATAATAATCATATTGTAGGGTAATTGCGCCGGTTTTCCGTCCAGCTCCTGTTTTCGTCCATTTGACCGACTTGCCACAAACAAATACGGAAAATTAGAATACAAACCTAACTTTCCGTGCAAGTTTGGACTTGTTACAATCTATAATATCTAAGTAACAGTTCTGCCTGCATGAAATAGTAATTTGATAAGTAATAACTCCAAAAAAAATCTATGGAACTTGCTGCTGCACACAGGTGAATGGAAAACGTCGTCAAGTTAGAAAAAAAAACGTGCTGGTAGGGAACTTGCATGGTATGTTTAATTACTGTTTTAGCTACTTTATGTAAATGTTTTTGGCACGTATGTCTAATTATTAGCATAATAAACACTATTTTAAGGGTTTATTAAAGCTTTTGTATAGAAATCTTAGATAATTAAGTGGACTAATACCAGAATAACAATTTTGCAAGATTTTGGTTTTCGTCCACGTGGACGGAAACCCTGACACCTAGTTAATATTTTTAATAATCATTTTACTTCAATGGACCTACAAAATACAATGTTTTTTCTTCCAATATGATCTTTATTGCTATTACATTAAACATTTTAGTTTACGTCCACTTTTTAACAGTGATAAACCCATAAAAACCGTTAAAAAGATGTGGACGAAAACAAAAAACAGCTTTAAACGTTGTTGTGTTTTCGTCCATGACGTCATGAGCAAGCACTGGGGTGGACGAAAACCAAAATTAGCTATTCCTGTAGATTAGTTTTCGTCCATTTGTCCTTCGACCTATTGAAATATTTTCCTGAATTTAGGTAAGAAACTTATTTAAATCTTTTTGATATCATTTGAAAGCTAACAAAATTACCTTTCAAATGATATACCATAATCCATAGTTACTGTATTGTAGAGTTGGTTTTAAGTTAATAATTCAACTGCACCCTTTTTTCTACACAGTGGTCGAAAACTAGCGTACACTAGGACGAAAACTGATTTTTTTGGACGAAAACTAGTGAAATCGCCTCTTTTGCATAAAATATTTTTTATAAAAAAACCCGTGGTATTTACTTATTGTCATATAATATTAACGTAAAGTAGACTATGTAAGGACTAAAACGACATATGATACATATGAGTAAGGGTATTTTAAAATATTTATTTCGCATCACAAAGTTGGCAACTCCGATAATTGGACGAAAACTAACGCACTTACCCTACCCAACTTTACCATACAATTTTGAAAATATTTTAGTCAATCATATTTGGAGTTTACTTATAATAGCATAATTTACTTATAAAGATTAATACAATAAGGTGCGCACGCCACGGGCGTGCATTACTTTGAATTAATAGGCGTGATCCTGTTTTATCGAAATCGTCCCGTTAAGTGTATTTTTTCTCAAAATGTATTAATTCTAGTAAAAAAGTAATTAACTTAATCTTCAGAAAACTATTTCAAGGACAGTGGTTTTTAAAGAGTCCTAAGTAAATCTACGAATACTTTATTTACTTGCATCACTTAAATAATACTTCATCTATACTATTTAGTATTAAGTAAGCATACAAAAAATCATAATTTAGTAATAGAAGATTTTTTTTAACTTAAGCTAAGAATAACTTAAGACCCAATTATCTCAAGAATACTTAACTTGGTTTTGGATATTCTTAATTTGCTTAAGTAGTGCTCGATAAAGAATATAAACTCTTAAAGAGAGAAATCTCTATCCTAAGTTTATTTGGTTTTAGCTTAAGTGTAAATTTAGATAGAGTTAAGACAAGTAAGATTTTACCATTAATACCAATTGCTACTTGGGGGTGTTCCAATGATATAAGCCCACAAAAAATTCAATAGCCATTCCAAAAAACAAGGCAACAGAAAATACGTAAGGTTTCAAGCTTGGAATAGAGACGGTAACTAACTTTGAGCGTAGCCTTATAAGCAAACTTGAGTCCTTCAAAGTCCTGCTGGAAGAAGTTTCTGGACGGAGTGAGCGGGTCGTCAGCTGGCGGCGCTTGCGGCGGCGTCGGCGTCAGCACCAGGGTCACGGTCGGGAATATGCCGTCCTGCTGCAGGCAGCGCGCTTCGCGGACTGTGCACGGGTGATCTAGGCCAGGAGAGATGGTGCCACTATTATATGTTTACAGTCTCAATTTAATTTAATGGTTGTCAGTGTTCCAAGGTACTTTTAGTCCACATTTATTATCTAAACGGTATTTTAGATAATAAATGTGGACTAAGCTTACAGAAATATTGTTAGAAAATGAAAAAAACAAACCGAACATAAGCCAGCCAGCTTGAGCGACGGGCTCCTTGCAAGCAAGCTGTTTCGTGACCTCTGACATCAGCACCGGCGAGATACAGCCTGGGATGTAGTCATCATGCTGCGCGTGACATCATCAAAGCATTACAATTACTTACTTAATTTGATGACAAAGATAGAAGGTCTAAACCTTTGGTAAGAAGATAATTAAGGAAAGATATCAATTTAAAAAATAATACTGAAACTAGTGCCAATAAATATAGTTTCCAAGCAAAACCTCGGACGGACAGACATGATGAAACTATAAGGGTTCCTTGTCAGGAATACGGAACTCTAAAAAGTATCTATTATCTATTTTACCCTTTCGTAACGGTCCATCACACATCGGCGAGTTATTACTATGAATCCCATATCTCTTATCAGCTCTTTCGTCAAACTTTTGATATCTAAAAAAAAGACATGAAGGTGCTTAAGAACGTATTACTTAGTAAGCTACAGAAGCTAGTCAGAATGTGTATTAGGTAATGCTTACAGTAATGCTTGCAGGGCCAGGGTATGGTTTATAGAGTGTTATCGTCACCCTAAACAAATCTACATTATATCTACGGAAAAGTAAGGTGGTCGTCTAACATATTATAATTTTGGGTTATTCTATAGCTATAAAACATTAACTTTAGAAATAATAAACATTATAATATCGCACCTATTTTTAGATTGGGAGAAACGAGCATCATGATACGCTCTATGTCCCCTGTACTATGTAAATGTCGTCCAAGGAATACCTTCATGTGTATAAGGTGGTCCTTCGGGAGATGGACAATTAAATCTTCGGTCATGTCCTAGAAAAGTATTTATCTATAAACTTTTATAGCGGTCAACATTTTACTAAAGTTTCGGAGGAAGAGAAGCTTGGAGGAGGATCAGGAGTTGTGAAAAAACCCTGAGGGAAGTAAAGATAAAACTTTACCTTGAAAACTTTATAAACTCTATACTTTTCAAGATACGGTATGAACTTTTCAGGCATTGTAAGCGGTCTTTTTGTGGCGTCAGTTTCCGTCATTTTTACAGTTTCTTTCTCGAGACTAGAGTACTTTTTCAAGTTTATCTCCGTTAAGAAAAATCGTGAAAAATGGTCCTATTTGACTTTGACCGTGTCATTTGAGGTGTCATTCATATCTTTCAGTTTCAGTTTTCATGCACAATTTTTTTTATGAATTGTTTTTTTTTATAAATGAAAATGTTCGTGTTTCAGAACGGAATGCTAAAATGTCAATATGTCACTGTCAAACTCATGCTTCCGTGTCCATCTGTCTCATCTGTGGTGTCCATCCAGCTGATATTCCGATAACCTCAAAAGTTTACAAAACATGGGCAATTGAGTTGTTTTGGTCTTAAATTTTAATAGTTAATTGTTCAGTTCATGATATGACGACATCCGATGCCGCGGGTTAAATGTCGCCGCGATCAATGATAAGTGGGGAAGACTCGTGGTTAGTTTGATCATTGATAGGTTGTGGAGCCGCGTCGAGGTCAAACTTTTCGTTTAATTGCATCGTTATTACGTTTCACGTTTTACTAGCCAGTCGCCGCATAGCAGGCTGATGTGTAGTGCTATCTTGCGTGGTGTAGTAGTGAGTAGAAGCTTAACTAGAATGTTTTCATCAAAACACTCCTATGAGGTAAGTGTTGTATGATTTCATCAATTTGTAACCATTTTATGCTTTGAAAATTGTTTCTTTAAGTATGTATTTGTTACATTTTAGGAGGCTGTACGTAAACTAAACTCTCTACAGTCGCTTAAAGCAAGAATTGAAGAGATTGTTAAAGAGATTAAAGCAGGAAAAGTAAGTATGATCTTATTAACACTTGAGGACTCGCGCCTTAATTTGTAACATTCATACTCGCTACCGGGTGCGCTGGACCCAGTATATAAAATCCTATGTATTTTTCAAAAACTCTTAATAAAAGTGAAAACTTCTTTATTAGAAGGATAATATGATATAAACAAAGACAAAATAATAAACCAAATAGTCATATTTATTGCCTTTTTCTAAAATAACAACTTATTTAAAAAAATTAAGGTTTTTTGGCAAAATGAAGGTAATTTTTGTAATTAATTATTTAAAAAAACACCTTGTTTATTTTCGTAAACTACTATAATTTGCCTACTTATACCAATTACCAATTAATGAAAAATTTGTATAGAACATTAAAAAATTCACTTTGTTTACCGGGTCCAGTGGACTCAAAAACACGTTTTTCGTCTGTAGCAATCACATGCAGTGGGCTATTTGACGATTATGACCGCTATTGGCTGTGCTACAATATCGTGAAAAGGTACTAAGAGTGACAACATCGCAAACGTCAAACTTTAAAAGTTATTACTAGTGACCGACCGAATATTCGTTTTCGTTTTCGTTTTCGGCCATTTTCGGCCAAAAAATGGACATTCGGCCATATTTTCGTTTTCGGCCAAAAACCAGCCGAAGCTTCGGCCAAACCGAATATCAGAAATACGTGAATAAGATGGTGACGTTTATCGTTCCGATATCTTCGGGAGTGAATCTGATGCACTCATGGTTCCAATCAGACTTGAACGGACGCGGTATTGTCACACTCTTTTGAAGTTTTGAAGTGAGGTTACATTGTAAAGGGTGTCCAGCGAAAATTTTCCAAGTTCAAAATTGAATACAAATAAAACCAAAGAGTTTTCATTAAGTTTAATTGTTTCAAAATAGAGTCTAATGCGGATTTGAAATACGCCATGAGTCACTGGTCGATGTGTCTTGCTTCACAGCAAGAAGGTGTCTCACCACACACGGAGAGTACCTCGATGGAGACACTGAGGACTATTTTTTCTAGCCGCCTCGGTCATCAGATCTCACACCATGCGACTTTTTCTTGTGGGGATATCTCAAGTCAAAAGTTTACAGCAAAACAATCCTTAAATAATTCAGGTTCTGTAAGAAAATATCCGCCGTGAAGTTGCAGGAAAATTATTAGCGCGATTTGCTCTCACATAGTTGCGAATGTAAGGCTGTGAGAGTGCCTATAGTAAAACGGGCATCATTTAAAAGATATTGCCCATAAAAAAATAAATCCGCATTGTTAAACTCCAGTTCGCATTAGTAATAAATAATAAAAAATCATTAATTTATTTGTATGAATCATTTTTGAAGTTGCAAAATTCCCACTGGACACCCTTTATTTCTTCTTCACTTCCCAATATTTCAATATACACCGGAAATAATATTCTACTTTTACCGGTTTTCTTTAATCAATCCTTATCAAAAACAACTGTCAAACATCATTATGTTTTTGGTCAAAACATTAACGGTTTTCAAAGTTTTTACATAATTTCAGATTGAAATTTGAGAGTTGAAGGTCATTTTCGTTTTCGTTTTCGTTTTCGGCCGAAAATGAGACTGCAGCCGAAGCTTCGTTTTCGTTTCCGTTTTCGGCTGAAAATCCATATTCGGTCGGACACTAGTTATTACACAAATATTGAAGAACTGGGTCCGTTAGACCCATTAGCGAGTCCTTAAGTGTTAAGTTAGATGTAAGTTAAAATCTTACTTTTGAGGTATTTGTATTCTATTGTGTGCGAGTATTTTAAATGAAAAGTATTTTAATCCACTTTTTGTTTATTTATTCAATTAAATTCATTCTTTTTAATTTTATTTGTACTTATGTAGTGTTGTAACTTTAAGATTATTGATTTTATTGTTGTTATTTCAGAGATGTACAAATATGGAAGATATGGAGAATTATTTACTAAGGACTGGAGTTACTCTGTCTGACTTAGACCAACTGTCTGTGATACATGTAGCAGGAACCAAAGGGAAGGTTTGTTCATTTTTTGTTTGTAATATTTACAATAGGTACCCCTAAACTTAGTTCTAGTAAAATGATTACAATACCTATGTGGTTCTAGTTAAACCAGACTTGGTTGGTGTAGTAGAATAGAAATGATATTTTGTCACACTTATACATGATTATAGCTTATGATTAGGTTTAGGCAGTTATCTTTTTCATAACAATAACATTATTCTTGTATTATATCTTCATCAACAAAACTTGATTTATTTGGTTTAAACTGGACATGTTATTAGTAGGTAATATGTTTTAGCTTTGTTATCACTATCAGCTTCCAGAATTACAAAGTCATGTTTCATTGCAACATCTAGTGATGCTATTTCTGTTTCTAAAAAGCTACATCTGCCTTACAGCATTGAAACAAAACAGTGAAACATGTAAAGGTACTGTTCTGAACCAGGCTACAGAAAGCAGTTGCAGTGGGTTTTGGAACGTATTTCGTTTCGTCGTCAGTCGTGCAATATGCTATAAGCAGCTGCTTTTTTCGCCCACTTAGAAATAGCACCACTGTGTTGGATTTTCAATAACATAGAGCAGTGTTTCTCACGTAGGGTTCAACGAGCGCGATGTGCGAATCAATACTACGGCGGCACGGGTTTCGCACGGGGTTCTACTCGTCGCCTCACCTTGTCGCCGTGCGTGAGCGCATTCGCCTCGGTGGCCGCGTGATGAGCGAGGAGAACTTCGCACGTCACTTCCACCGGGTGTACGACAAGCTGGAGGCCTCACAGGTCAGTACACATGATAGTCAACTCACAGGGAGCCGTATGTCTTATGTATAGGGTCGATATTGCGGGGGCCGCGTGATGAGTGAGGAGAACTTCGCGCGCCACTTCCACCGGGTGTACGACAAGCTGGAGGTCTCGCAGGTCAGTACACATGACAGTCTACTCATAGCGAGCCGTGTGTCTTACGTATAGGGTCCATATTACTGTGGCACGGACTCCGCACGGGCTTATATTACTCGTCACCGCACCTTGTGACCATACTAAGGCGCTGCCTGAATTTCCAATCGGTGTGATCCCATATCCACGAGATCGTATATTCAACTCCTCCATCAGTGAGCAAACTCATGCACGGCCGTATGCGGATGAGCTGAAATGACAGAGCTACAAAAGAAACTTGTTTGATCTCGCCATTTTTATTAGCCAATTTAGTAATTTGATGCCCCAGCGCGACGTTTTAGCGAGGATAATTTTTCTAACTGGGATCTCAATCAGCGAGTCTCTACTCTTCTATCTATAGGATTACTAGCTTTCCGCCCGCGGCTTCGCCCGCGTGGAATTTTGTCTGTCACAGAAAAACTTTATCGCGCGCGTCCCTGTTTCAAAAACCGGGATAAAAACTATCCTATGTTCTTTCCCGGGACTCAAACTATCTCTATGCCAAATTTCATCAAAATCGGTTGCGAGGTTTAAGCGGGAAAGCGTAACAGACAGACAGACAGACAGACAGACAGAGTTACTTTCGCATTTATAATATTATAGTTGGGATGTTGCTGCTTTATGAAGAGTATCTTTAATGACAATTCCAGGCGTTCGAGGGCGACATGCCGACGTACTTCCTGTTCCTGACGGTGCTGGCGTACAACGTGTTCCTGCAGGAGAAGGTGGACGTGGCCGTCGTCGAGGTCGGCATCGGCGGCGCGCTGGATGCCACCAATGTGATAAGGTGAATTTCATCATCACCATTTTAGCCATAAGACGTCCAATGAAAGAAGGAAAGAAAGATACATTTATTACAATGGACATCACACAAATACAGGCAATTACATAGACATGACAGTGGCACATAATAATGGAAGAAGAAAAAATAAAAACAAGAGTCAACTGAGCAGTGCCACCCATCCACCAACAAGATGCCCACTGCAACGGGACCCCACTCAGCATATGCCGTGGCCCACGGTGACGAAGGCCACGGCGCTGGTTTTCAGTGTGCCCCATGCCGAGTGAGGGTCACGGACCATTGGTAAAATAAATAAAATAGTAAGCTGCATAAAAATTGTCTAGATAAACATACATAAATAGTAATATTAGTGCACAGATATTTATCTGTGCACTACTATTACTTAAGGCTACTATATTACAAAAGGCTTACTATATTACAAAAGGCGGGAAATCGGTAAGGATGATAAGACTACGTTTATTAAGAATACTAATGAAAGGAATACTAATAAAAAGATGCAATGCTGAACATAGGCCTCCCCAGTGATTTCCATGTTGATGGATTGGTAGCGGCCTGCGTCCAGCGCCTTCCTACTACTTTTATGATGTTGTCGGACCACCTTGTGGGTGCACGTCCCACGCTGCGTTTTCCGGTACGCGGCCTCCATTCCAGAACCTTGCTGTCCCATCGGCCGTCAGTTCTGCGTACTAAGTTCCTCATAAGTACTTTCGGGATACAGCTCGACACGTCTAGGTAGTAAAGTGCTTATATTCGGAGGTCCTAACATATTATTGACCTATGTTCAAGTTAATGGTAACTAATGTTCAAGTTATATTGTAACCAAGTAGGTACATAATGAGAAACAGCTACACCTGCGTGTCTGAGACTCAGATTCTTGAGCTCATTATAGGTGTACGAGAAATATATTACTTAAGTATTTGAATGCTTTGATCATTCACAATAATTACATCTCGTTTATAAAATAAGTGAGAATAGGTATCATCATCTAGACCAGGAAATGTAAATTTATAGTGATTAGTATTTATCACTCAAATGCGTCATTAATTGAATGATGCCTTACCCATTCAATCAGCTTCAATTTCGCATGGTGATAAAATATTCTTACGATATTGTGAAATAAATGTGGCTTATTTGTCCTTTTCAGAAAAGTTCCTGTAGTAGGCATAACGGCGTTAGGGCTGGACCACACAGCCATCCTAGGCAACACATTGCCTCAGATAGCGGCCGCCAAGGCTGGTATTATGAAGCCGGGCTGCGAGGCGTTTACAGTGCGACAGCCGCCAGAGGCTATGGAGGTGTTGAGGCGCGTCGCTGGTGACGTCAAGGTATGATGGGAGACAAAATGTCGTCGAATGACGTCCACTATTGGACAAAGGATTTCCACAACGACCGGTCCTGCGCCGCTCGCATCCAGGCACCTCCCCAAAATGTACTTAAAAATAAAAGGGACTTTAGCTAAGTGAGGTCTGCAACGATGTTACGTTTTTTTTCGTGACCTTGGAACGCCACTTGTGGCACACAAGTTTAGCACGCTTTATAATCAGTAATACGTAATTTGGGTGCTGATCACGTTCCGAAAGACATAATATAGGCAGGCCTCTCACTCGGTGACGACGATCTATCAAACACCTGGATGCGCAAGACTGATCGTTGTGGAAATACCCTTAGTCTAACAGTGGACGGCATTTTATTTAAAAATACTAAAATATTTTTCATTAGTACATTGAGGCACTAATTTAAGTTTTATCTCATTCCAGTGCACACTAAACGTAGTTCCCGATTACAAATCTTATACATTCCCGAACGGGTACAAGACACATCTTCAAAACAACCTTGACGCCTTCCATACCAACGCGTCGCTCGCCATACAACTGGCCCACAGCTGGCTAAGGATCAACCAGCTACAAACCATGAACTTACGCAACGCTCTCAAAAGAACTATTGTCAATAGCAAAGTGATACAAAACGGTTATAAAAACCTAGACGCGCCTTATGGGTTGGATGTGGAAAAGAATCTCTTGGATGGAGGCATGGTGTGTCAAGTACCAGCCGAGACAGCGCAAGGCCTGAGCGAGTGCAAGTGGCCTGGGCGATACCACGTGGTGGACGCTACGTATGCGAAGTTTTACTTGGACGGGGCTCATACTAAGGAGTCGATAGAGATCTGCGCCAGTTGGTTTAGTGATAATAACAGGTAATAATAAATACAGTAGCAAGCTATTATATTGTAGTTGACGAAGGAAGTCTTTCGATTTTCATTGTTTCTTTTTTTTTTTTTCAAAATAGAACGTAGAATTTCGTCCAATGAACCCAAGCTACCCATCCTTATCGCTCGTGCGTAATTATAAATTGCTGTTGCGTCTGAGCGACGGGCAGCCGCAGTGAGTGTGCGAGCGCGATAGCAATATAATTACGCGCGAGCGATAAGGATGGGTAGCTTGGGGTCATTGGACGAAATTCTACGTGCTCGACGACCGGACTATAGTTGTATTGACCCTACCGAGACTTGACGCTCAATGAGATTTTTCTTCCGAGTTAATTATGTTGACTGGAAGAGAAGCTTACACTCTAGGTAGATACTGATTAGTTAACACTAGTTTTATTTCATTTCAGAAATCAAGACAAAATCCTAATATTCAGCGTGACAGGAGACAGAAAGCCTGAAATATTGCTGAAACCGTTAGCAGACTTGGGATTCACGCATGTCTACTTCGTGGTGCCGACAGCGCATAAAGCGATAAACGAACACAACGACAACTATTCGAAAGTGGAGCAGGCAGATTTTATATCTAGATGTGAGAGAAACGCCGAGGCTTGGAAACAGCTGAATGAAAACGCGGGACATAGCAACATTAGTGTTCTAGAATGTGTACACGATGCGCTAGTAAGCATAAAGAATAACAACAAAAACTGCAATGTATCTGTGCTAGTTACAGGTTCCCTACATTTAGTAGGTGCCACTCTATGTATTTTGGATCCGAATTTAAATACTTAATGTAAGGAAAAGTGATAATAAATTAATATTTAAGTAAACCTATTGTCTTTTTCTATTTTCTCAAACATGTAGAAATGATTTAGAGTATCTCTGAGGATTAAAAAAGCAGTGATCTTGTTAGTACAAATATATTTAACAGCAATTAAAAAAAAGATTCAATACATCAATATCACATAAATTAAAGGCTTAATTAAACAGCAAGAGATAACGTTATAGATTTTAATTGGGCATTATTATAAACTTTTATTTTAGCACTAATGTATGTACCTTTAACATGACTGGGTTTTTTGGCCCAAAATTAATATTTGCATGCTTCGTGTAAGCAAAACATGACTGAACATTTTTCTGTGTAACATCTGTATATACCGTGTTTTAAGCAAATAAATGTATTATTCGGCATGTGACGATGCACAGCATCTGGTGAGAGAGATGCGTCTACTTCCGGTGTAGTTTTCTACCTTTTTATACCTTAAATGACGTCATTTCCGCAATTATTTAATAGGAATTGATTTGACTTACTTCCGTTTGCCGCCATTTTAGTCACCTGGGGGCGAGCTTGCTCGGAGTTCTTCATAGCGTCTTTAACTTCCAAACTAGCAACATCGTAAGCAGAAACTCTGCTCAGATTTTTACTGAAATAATTTATTTCTCAAGGTTCTTATACTAAGTTTAAAATTAAAAAGTGCAATTGACCGCGCGCGTGTGTGACCACGAACGACATGTACGTTGGTGGTTGGCGCAAAAGGGGACGAGTGTCTTCCGGACGACGAGCAGGTGGACCCAGAGCGTCGGATACCGGAGAAACTCGGACCCCGGCGAGATTCAAAACGGATGAAACGAGGTACGTGGGATTCTGATAGCTTTAACACTCTTTTCGATCAAATGAGCATTCTCGCGAATCTCTATATTGTATTAATAGATTGAATAACGTACCCACAACCATCTTATCCAATTTTAACGGCGGCCCCGTCAGCCCCAATCGCAAACATTACCAATCAAAATACGTTGTTAGCATCACCACAATCGAACGATAACTCTTTCTGGTACGAGTTTCTTAATAAATACCCATTTAAACTACAACTATTAGTAGACTGGGTGGCCAACCCCAACACTGAGCCAGCTTACAGCTTGAATTATTAAATTCTAATGTTTTTTGCAAATCAAGAAGCTTAATAAGTATGAAAAAATGTGCTAAATGCATCGAACATGTATACTTTTATTTTGCAACAACATATAAATTGTAATGTGAAATGCAATAAACGTTTTTGAATTTGAATTTGAACATGTCACGAGCGTATTCTGGCTAAAATTCCTAATAAGCATTGTGCGAGGAGCACCCTCCCAGTGCTGGATTTTTGTTCGGCAAAATCACCCTGTGCCGATCTGGTCCGAATCGCACTGGTGATATCTAAAAAAAAAAAAAAAATCCGACCTTGGTTCTCTAGCCGGTCACTTCAAGCAAAATCAAAACATAATAATATCTTTATTTGCTTAGACTGATTAAATTAGTTCTTCCAAATCAGTCNTCCAACCCGCCTGCCAAGCGTGGAGATTATGGCAAAACCCTCCACTATAGTGGAGGAGGCTCATAGTCCAGCAGTGGACTGTAAAGGGCTGTTGATGATGATGATGATGATGACTTGCCTTATTATGGAAATGGATGAGAAAGACACGTGGGAAATGCCTGATTTAGTCACGTCGAAAATGTCTCTTATTGATTACACGCAGATGTGTTTAACACGTCAACTACCTCGTGCATTATTGCCGTTTCATTCGTGGTCAGTCGTCAGAGCGTCGCCTCGTGCATGATTTAAATGAAACCTTGCGATTGAATGATGAGCTCAGAGCAGACTGGAGGAAAGCAGTTAGCACGCAAATCGGCGATCGATGGAGGCCAGCGGGTTAAGGCTACGTCCGATCGCTTTGTTTTCACTAACTTATTGATAAAGATGTAATTTTCTCTTCAAATGCTGAAGGTTGGACTTTTGCCCGATTACTGTAAATAAGGCAGAGGAAGAAGCTTGTCAAAAGAAAAGCCTGGAAATGTGTCATTTAAATTGCCATGTCACTGTAGAGGGTTTTTATCAACTCGATACTAATGATTAATGAACACTCACGTGACATTTAATTTTGTGAAATCGTGGTTTACGCTAACTCATTCAAATCTGCCATCAATTGAAGATTGAATGTAAAGGTAGGTAACTCTGACTGCTTGTTTCATTCATTTACATGAAGAAATCTCTGACCAAATTTTTAATCATAGAGACATACATAGATTGACATGAAAGAAGAATAGGCTTCTCCAGGGTTTGACGTTTAGTTGGAAGCACGTAGTGGACCGTGATTCTTGTTTTAAACTAATTTTCGAATGCGAGTCATTTCATGCAGAAAAATACTGCTAAAACATAGCCCTTCTTCTGGCGCAGTCGGATAAATAATTAGTGTTAGTAGCATGTGTCGTTGAGTGCCTTTCAAATTACCGGCTCCCATAAATATGTTACCGGGGGCTGTAATATCGTGAACACGTTTATTTGGCGATGCTATCTCGGTTGATAACAATGCGCGGTCGAGGCCGCATCGATCCACGTGGACAATCCCAACTAATATTATAAATGCGAAAGTAACTCTGTCTGTCTGTCTGTCTGTCTGTCTGTCTGTCTGTTACGCTTTCCCGCTTAAACCTCGCAACCGATTTTGATGAAATTTGGCATAGAGATAGTTTGAGTCCCGGGAAAGAACATAGGATAGTTTTTATCCCGGTTTTTGAAACAGGGACGCGCGCGATAAAGTTTTTCTGTGACAGACATAATTCCACGCGGGCGAAGCCGCGGGCGGAAAGCTAGTACTATAATAATACTGTAAAACTATGGGAAAATGCTTAATGTTGTCCGTTCATTGACCATTGTCAATCACAATTTGGGTCATATACTTTTAGAATTGTAGACCAACGACAGTTCAACTCTATTGATGCTGCATCTCGTGCTGATTAATTTCGTTGCGTGTCCAATGCCAGTTTAACTTTCCCCCGAGACAAACTTGACCTTCACTGGTTGGGTTTTTATTGGCGGTCAAGCTGTAGATCCTGGCTACACATAAGTTGTAGCGGTGGGAAAAGGCTGCATCCTGTTTTTGCGACTTTGTCAAAAAGTAGAGTTTGTCGGCAAACTTTGTAGCATCAGATGCCCTCTAGAAAGAAGTAGCTGGTAGTGTTTGGACTTTGGAAAAGGGGTCGAGGTTCTTATTTCTTCTTTTTTTCTGACAGACCAAGCAACATTACCAGGAGTCGCTTGAGCAAGCAACTTGGCAATTGAGCTTTCAATTTTTATTATTGACACGAACGAAGTCACGAGCGAATGCTAGTATAGCTACTAATACCATTATAAAATACAAACTATTATTATTGTACAAAGCAAACGGCGTACAGTGGAGGTATAAATCAATTATATCGAGCACGTAATTGATTCTGTAGAGAACATCGACTCAAGTAAGGGAAATTTTATAACCTGTACTATAACTATGAAGTAATTTGTTTATGNTAAGTATAGATGAGAAATTTATCACATAAATTGGTATGAATACCGACTTTTATAAATTAACGTTGTCGTTTCATTCCATTGATTGTTATAATGGAAATAAGCCTTCATCTCGAAAGTAACGAGATAATCCTCTTTTATTCAAAGGTAAAGGAACGAAAGAAATGTAGGGATAAAGGATAAAGAAGATACTTCTGATACTAATGGGAATTTGCAAGAATTGCGTGTGTAACGGATGGTGTACGGCACGGGAACAAAAAGACAAACTTTATTTCTATAGAAAGGAGTTTTTGTATTCCTTCCACCTTCCACCTTCGGCCGGATCATCACTTACCATCAGGTGAGATACAGGCCAAGAGCTTTCTCGTTGTGAATAAAAAAAAAACTTCATCTTACTTCAGTAAATAACTTTTTGAGAAATTAAGGCGTAGTATGTAGTTCACACAGTATCTAGTATGAAGACTCGTTCACCATTTCCCTTCTTTATGTATTACCTACCTGTATCGTTTCTATAGGTTTGTTTAATAGTTTTTTCGAATGGGCGAACTAATCGCTTGCTCAATCACCTTTAAAGACAAACAACAGGCTTTGTGCTATCAACAGTTGGACAATAGCAGCTCAGCAGGGTGCCGTAGCATCATTTCACTTGAATTCCATTGAATTCTGAACTTTAAGACCTACAGTCACGGTCTCAATTCCATTACCCACGGCTAGTGCATAGGGCTGCCACCGCTTTATCTAGCACAATGGCAGATATTAGTCGAATGGACAAAGATAAAAGAGAGATGCTCGACAATTTCTGATGTCCGCTTGCAATCGGTTGTGAACTTTGATGCGCATTGTTGTTGTCTCGATTGCTTTGTCCAGGTGCATTGTGTCTAGGGTTGTCTACTAACCGTACAATAGTAAAGTCAAAGGAGTATAGTAGCTCAACCTTTCAAATACAATATACCAACGGTGCAGTCTCATATAGTCCAGGGACTGGAGTTGTTATGATCGTCAAGTTAAGCTAAAATGCTTAACTATTTCCAGACTTATGTGAACTTTGATAACCTAGATATCATATTAAGAAAACTCTCAATAAATCAATGCGAGCTTGTTCCTTAATCCCTTAATTTTAGAGCTTGTCGTCACTCCGAAGTTTGTATTCGAACACTGGCAACCCTGTCCCGGTCACGTGTGCCTCACAATATCCGGCGGGCGGCGGCGCCGGTTTTCCCGCGCCCATTGTGCCGGACTCCACGGCCCGGAAACGCGGGCGACAATGGTCCGGGCGTTGATAGGACCCGGAGTTTCCCAGGTTTGACCGTACGTGCCGAGTGGGAAAGGGGAAAGTGGGAAATTCCGCGAAGGGTCTTCCTTCCCCTTACACAGGTTCATTATTACACAGTCATTCGTTGCAGTTTATTGAAATGCAACCTTTATCAATCGTTATGTAAGTTTCTTTGTGAAATCAGATTGTGAGCATATTTTGAAGATATTTTCATTTCTCAAGGGTC